AACTGAAAAGCTTCTGTACGGCAAAGGACACCATCAACAGAATAAAAAGGCGTCCTACAGTATGGGAGAATATATTTGTAAATGACATATCCGACAAAGTGTTAACATCCAAAATATATAAAGAAGTCACACACCTCAACACCCAAAAAGCAAATAACCCAATTAACAAATGGGTGGAGAATATGAAGAGACAATTCTCCAAAGAAATTCAGATGGACAACAGGCACATGAGAAGATGCTCCACATCACTAATAATCAGGGAAATGCAAATTAAAACCACAATGAGATATCACCTCACACCAGTAAGGATAGCCAGCATCGAAAAGACTAAGAACAACAAATGCTGGCGAGGATGCAGAGAAAGGGGAACCCTCCTACACTGCTGGTGGGAATGTAAGCTAGGTCAACCATTGTGGAGAGCAATATGGAGATTCCTCAAAAAAGCTAAAAATTGAAATACCATTTGACCCAGGAATCCCACTCCTTGGAAATTACCCAAAGAATATACATTCTCAGATTCAAAAAAATGTATACACCCCTATGTTTATCGCAGCACTATTTACAATAGCCAAAATATGAAAGCAACCTAAGTGTCCATCAGTAGATGAATGGATAAAGAAGATGTGCTATATATACACAATGGAAAACTAATCAGCCATAAGAAAGAAACAAATCCTACCACTTGCAACACATGGATGGAACTGGAGGATGTTATGCTCAGTGAAATAAGACAGGTGTAGAGAGACAAGTACCAAATGATTCCCCTCATTTATGGAGTATAACAACAAAGCAAAACTGAAAGAACAAAACAGCAGCAGATTCACAGACTCCAAGAAGGGGACTAGCTGTTACCAAAGGGGAGGGGTGTGGGAGAGCGGGTGGGGAGAGAGGGAGAAAGGGATTAAGGCTATTATGTTTAGTACACATGGTGTGAGGGGTGATGGGGAAGACAGTGTAGCACAGAGAAGGCAAATAGTCAATCTGTGGCATGTGGACAGTGACTGCAATGGGGTATGGGTAGGGACTTGATAATATGGGTAAATGTAGTAACCACATTGTTTTTTCATGTGAATCCTTCATAAGAGTATATATCAATACTTAAAAAAGAATTATATAACTTTAGGTTTAATAAAGGGAAATTAATCAATGATTAAGAAAAAAAAGACAATGTGGGCTATAGCCCATAGGTGTGGCTTGACATTGACCTTTGAAGAAGTCAGCAGAGCCTGGCAGGAGTGCCTTGTGTGCTCTAAGAGGGACTTACCCTGAGTCCCACAGCAACATGGGACAATAGTAAGGGGGCCAATACCCCTTGTCAAGTGGCAAATAGACTATATTGAGCATCTGTCCATATCAGAAGGATATCAGTATACCATGACTTGTGTGGATATGGCTACTGAACTATTGTTTGCTTTTCCTGCACATTGTACAGATCAGCAAACCACCAAAAGGGGACTGGAGCGTCTCTGTGCAGCCTATGGCCGGCCGCAGGTGATTGAGAGCAATCAAGGCACCCACTTTACTGGACATGTGTTACAAGAATGGGTGCAGTGATTAGGAATAAAGTCAAAATTTCGTGTACTATATAATCCTACTGGGGCAGGCATGATAGAGAGGTTCAACGGTTTGTTGAAATCTGGCCTGAAATCGGACAGCAATAGTCTACAGGGTTGGTCAGCTCGCCTATGGACAGTGCTGTGGCATTTGAACGAGAAGCCACATAAGGAGCTTTGAGCCCTGTGGATATGCTCACACACGTTGCTGCCTCTCCTATACAATTGTACGTCCAAACCAAAGAAGAGCTATTGAAGCCAGGATATGGCCAGCAGAGCAACATCATGCTGCCAGCCCCTACTGCACTGAGCCCTGGAGACACTGTTGAATGGACCTGGCCCTGGACATTTCGACACATGGACCAGTGATGGCTGGCCCTCTGACACCTTGGGGGAAAGGCCTGGAAGCTGGCCTCGTGTGTATTCCTGGAGTAACAGCTGAAGGGCCCCCAAAGGTCACAGTAGTGTACCCAAAATGTGCAGGAGGTAAGAGCATCTTGCAGGGAAGTTTTGTTTTATGTTTATGGCCAGTGCATGTACCTCCTGTAGCCCTATATATCAATCCATCTGTAACTCGCACAGGGAGGGGGGTGAAAGCCTGGTATACTAGACCAGGACAAGATCCCATTCCTGCCACTGTTTTATCATAAGACCACTCCCTTGCATGTATCCTACCTGATGGACAAGATTTGCCTATGCTGCTGTTATTAAAACATGTATCTTATCGCCCTTAAGGTTATTTTCTCCTACAGTCCTTGTGGCCTGAATGCGCCCCCTGGCTGCAGCTGCCATGTGATGATTGCTCTGAACGCTCAGCTGCTGCCTGCCTATGGAATGGACGAGCTATGGACTTAATGTGCCTAAGACTCTGAACCTCGCTGAATTCTCCGGCTTGAGGATTGTCGTAATTTTATTGTTGTTGCTATTGTTATGTCATTAGTCTGGGCACAATGCTCCAGTTTTCTCACCCAAGACCATTGCAGAAGAAGGGGAATGAGTAGATTGTAAGGCGAGATTTCTGGAGGGGTGGCCTGTGGGTAAAATTGTAACAGTTTCAGAATATCTCGCCTGGCTTTGGTGCATTTGCATATCCTCAGGGGTAGAGAGAAGTCCAGCTCCATGTCAGTGGGTAATTACCTGGGAGACCAAAGGCTTATCTGAACCTGAGAGGTGATGGGGAGGAGGCTTCCATTGCTTCTGCTGCAGCAAGAGAGAGACGGACCCGGACTGCAGTTTGTAAGCAATAAACAGGTTTTAAACTTTATTTCTCCCTTTGACTGATCTCGATTTCAGCCAGGTATTTTGGCTGGGATTTCCTCTCGCCAGAGTTACAGGATGTAGCGGACAGCATGGTGACTACAGTCACACCACTGCGTGGGACCAGGAGGGCTGCTGAGGGAGGAGACACTAGGAGCTCTCATCACAAGGAAAAAGGCTTTCCTCTTTGTGTCCGTATGAGATGGTGGCTATAGACTAAACTTACTATTGCTAATTATTTCACAACATATTTAAGTCAAGTCCTTATGCCTTTAGTTTATACAGTGCTGTATGGCAACAAAATGGAAAGAAAGAAAAAAAAGAATTGCAGTAAAGCATAAAAAAAGACTGCTTTAAATTAACAATAAAAATAGATTGTATTAAGTGCCAACCACATTGTTCTTCATTAATAAGAAAGGGCACATAAAGATGAGAGTCAGAGCTGACTATTTCTGATTAACATAGAGAATGGTCATGCCTATACATTCCAGGCTTAGAGAAGGAGGCAGTACAGCTAAGGAATGGACTCCTTATTAAGAACTTGCCACATACTTATAAAACAATGTAAGGGTATCACTATATAGGTGGTCCTGCCCCTTGAGAAAGGAAAATTCGGATTCAAAATAAAATAAAATTCAGTATGTAAAACCCAGCTGGACAATATTATGCCCCACCATCCTTAAACAAGCATCGAACCCCATGAAGTCAGACTATGAAAGCCAAGGAAATAAATTCAGGGAAGGGGAAGAGCATGAGGTCTGAGCCGGTGTTTGTGTGGGATGTGATGTGGACTCTTGCCGGAGGGAGGCGCTGCCGGCGCTGCACAGATGAGGCGCCTCAACTGGTTCAACTGCATTGGACCCTGGGGTTATGGCACTCCACTACTGCAATTCCTTTTATATTTTGAAAATTATCTTGTATTTATAGTGTAAGTTAGTATTTGCAGTTAGTCCTGCATTAATGAAAAACTTGTAGAACTAACTACAAATTAAATTTCATCAAGTGCCACTCATGTCATTCATAGGAAAGACAAACAGGAAACAAGAGTCAGCTCTTACCTTCTCAGATACTTTGTATGAAAGATGAATGATTAGTAATCAATGAATTTTATTTTTATAATTAATTTAAAGCAATCTTTTAAAGTATATGAAATCAGATTTGTGACCGGTCTTACTCTCTCAAATTGAGAACAGTCATGAGACTTTTTATGCTAAACAATGCATTTGTTAGTACTTGCTTTTATGTGTCTAGAATTCTGTTTCCTTCCTGAAAGTCAGAGAGAGAGGTGGGGAGCTGGGGAGCCAAGTGCCCGTTGACTGCTTACTTTCTCTTCATGAGACAAAGGAAGCAATGTAACTTGAAAACAGGTGTTGTTTCCAGGAGACACAGGTGGGAGTCTCCTCCCCACACACCCTGCTTGTTATGAATGAGGCATGCCTGGCTGAGCCAGCGGTCCCAGGCAGTGACAGGGGCATCTGTGTCCCACAGGTCCATGGCAGGCTCCCCCCACCTCTGCAGCCCTGCTCAGCTACTATGGCAAATATCCCGGCAACTTGAGCTCCGAGGCCACAGAAACTCCGAGCTTCCAGCGGGAACGGACTCTCCTCAGCACGGGGTGGCTTCTGCAGCTGCCCTCCCTCCTCCTTCACCACCAGGTGCAGGAATCAAGTCGTCTGCCTCCCTGCCTCATTTTTAGTGTCTGGAGCAAGAGTATTTCTAACAAGGCACTTGAAAGTGTTCTTTGCAAGGGTGATTTAAGGAGCAAGACCTGGGAATCCACCTAGAATTCAAAATTTAAGTAGCAAGACCTGGGAATCCACCTAAATATACAAATATTAGAAATATGGTTTGGAATATTAAATATTACCATATGATAGGTTATAGTTATTTCAAAATGAGTAAGACTATGTGGCAACATGGAAAAGTGTTAGTAAATCAAGGGAAAACAGACTATAAACTAGATTCATACCAGTCACAGAAATATAAAAACATGAGTAATTAAAGTAGAAGAGGTGAACATTTCAGTAAGGGTCATGGTTGGGCCCGTCTCCTGTGCACCGGGAACTCAGGGCAGAACAGTGAGGAACGGATCAGGGGCACCCATGGCTGCTCACACACCTGCCCCCTGCAGGCTGACTAGGTGGGTGGACGCAGGACCTGTCACTTCCACATCTTCCCTGACTTTCATACCTTGAATAAGTCGTAGAGTTCCTCTAGGTCTTCGGGAAGAATTGAAACGTCTGGGATAACAACGCGGAGCTTGAGGAAAGAATAAAGAGCAATGGAGTGAGTCCTCTGCCTGCACCAGGGAGGGTCCAGGACAGGGGCTCTCCCTGCAGATGGGACACCAGGCAAGGTGCGAGCCTCCCTCAGGGAACCCATCTGTTTCCTTCTGGCACACAGATCACTTTGTGCGATCTTCCAATTTCCACATCACTGGCTCAGGACAAATGTGTACGTTCTCACAGAAGTTAGGCGCTAGCAAAGATAGAGGTTGTGCAGGAAGTTCCTCCTGAACAACTACCACCACAGGCCATCTGTGCTAAGCATTGCATATGCCTCATTTAATCCCATCACTGGGTATTATTGTCCTCTTTTACAATTGGGGAAACTGAGGCTCACAGTGGTTGATTTGCTCACAATCTATCTGACTCTAAAACCCATGCTATTTCTGCACCATGTCACCCTATTAAGTTTATAACTCAATCCAAAAAAAAAAAAGAAAAGAAAAAGCTAGCATTCTCATTAGCAGACCAGCAGGGGTCATACCAGGCTAGAGACTGGCTACTGCCCTTGCAAGGCCTGCTACTCACCACGTTCTGCTTTGTGATGTCTTCGTGGCCCTGGAGAACCCTGACCCTGTGCTTACAGCGCAGGTGCTCAATCTGCGCCACAGACCGGTCTCCAAATTTCTGCAGGGACAGAACGGATACTCCTTGAATCCCTTTTTGCATATAAACAAAGGATGTGAGGTAGCCCAGAAAACCTCCCTCAAAGTCCCAAACAAACGTCTAAGGTGGTGGGAATGAGGAGCCCAGATACCTCATAGGAGTCCCGGATCAGGTCAGCAATGTCAGTCACAGGATGGGGCTCCTGGTCATCGGAGAAGAAGGCATGGTGGCTGCCAATGGGGGGTCCAGGGCTATCCTCATTCTTAATGTGATCTAGAAACCTGAGCACACCACCCACCATTAAGCAGGGGGTCCACCCTCCCCCTGGCACCACATGCCATCAGCCACCTCACAGCAGCCTGCTAACACGCTGCTGCCCCTTCAAACATGGTTCTCCCAATGCTGGGAGGACGCAGGGTAGCAATTTCCCAGCTCATTTTAGAGAAGAGAGATATCCATCCCTAAAGCCAGACTTGTCAATCTGGACTCCACGGGCAGGTTTCCAGGCATCTGGAACTCTCCAGTGAGGTAAATACAAAATTCTGCACACACACGCAACTATAAACTTCCACGATATTCTAGAACCCTTCATTTCCAATACAACTCACCCTGAGCTCCAAGAGACCCAGGCCTCAGGTGAGTGGAACTTTTCTTTCCCTTTGACACACCAGGCCCTAAACACAGACATCTGAAACCTCCACCTGGCTGCATGAGGCCAACATTTCGAGGTACCTACCATCTTGTTCAAGGCCCCTGTGAGCCCACTCAGACTCCAGACACTTGAATCTCCTCAGAGAAAAGCACTGACCACCCACTGCTCCTTTCCCTACGCTGGCTCACTTGGTAAGGGGAGTGAGAGAGGACATGCTCTTTCCCTGCAGGGTGACAGTCCCCTAGGCAACCTGCTCTGGGAGACCACAGAGTGACAGTCACAGTGTGGAAGGCAACTTCCACAGCAACAGCCCTGCTGGGTACCTGCTGTCCCCGCCGCCCATCTCCCAGTGTCCCAGCTGCCACCCACCTCACCCCAGAAGCCACACAGAGCAGCACCAGTGCCCACCTGCTGAGGACCATCAGGGCCTGGCCATCATCCTTGCTGCTGCACAGGTCCTCGGCATTGGCCTCCAGCACAGCCAGCCCCAGCTGGAAGATGGCTTTGATGCCGTCATAGAAGAAGCAATCTACCACATTCACCGCACTCTCCAGAGGCATGATGCTGAGGAACAGAGTCAGGAACCACGAGAGCGAGATGGGTGCCAGGGCTGTCAGATCGTGCATATGCTCCGCCAGCTCGGGCAGGCGCTCCTTGATGAGTTCCTCAAAGACAGACTGGTCCACCTGGGCCCCTGGCAGAGGAAGGCCAGGGAGGCTCCATTAGAGAGGGACCACCTCTCGAAGCTAGCCTGAAATTTAAACTACTCTGAGATAAGTAGAACAGTGAACAGAATTTGAGTCCAGAAAGGGACTCACACTTAGTTAATTGATGTCTGACATTCTGACCAAGGCAATTCAATGGGAAAGGACGGTGTTTTCAACAGAGTGCCCAGTCGTTACTGCGGAGTACAGGAGAACCTTGACTCCTACTTCACACCATACAGAAGAACACATTTGAAACATGTCACAAACCTAAATAGAAAGCTAATACTATCAAACTTACAAAAGAAAATATAGTAAAAAAGGCAAAATCACTTAGGACACAACAAGCACTAAACATAGAAAAAATTATAAGCGGGACTTCCCTGAAACTAAAGACTGGCGTTCTTCAAAAGACACCATTAATAAAATGAAAATGGCAACTTCAAATGCAGAGAAAATATTCACAAAACATACACCTGACAAAGACCTTGTAGTCAAAATAAAGAACTACAACTCTCTAATAAGAAGGCAGTAACTGACAATAACAACTGGTTTTTTTTTAAGTAGGCAGAAGATTTGAACAAACTCTTCAGAAGAGATAACCAAATGGCCAAAATGACAGAACAATATGTCCAACATCATTACTAAGAGAAATGCAAATTAAATATACCTTCTCTCATCCACTAGAATAGCTAAAATGAAAAGACAGACAATGCCAAGTGTTAATAGGGACGTAGAGCAACTGGAACTCCAAAACTTTGCTCTGAGTATGAGATGTGTGACTACATTATACCTGTTTTGGAAAACTGACAGTTTCTTACAAAGATAATCTTACATCCAACCTATGATGAGGCAATTCTACTCCAAGGTAAATACTCAAGAAAACTGACTATATATATTCACAAAAAGACTTATACTTGAATCCTCACTGCAACCCCACTCATAATAAAAAGCTGGAAACAACTCCAATGTCTATCAACAGGTGGCTGGATATAAACAAACCATGGTGTGAATGCACAGTGAAGAGCTGCTCAGCAATAAGGACACACTCCTGGCCACCAGCAACACCACAGTGTGAAAGAAGCCAGACACAAAAAAGAACATTCTCTGTTATTACATTTATACCAAGTAAACATATAAATTTATATCCCGTTTAAGAACAGACCAAACTAATTGATGGTGATAGCCATCAGGACCCATGCCTGCAGCAGGGAAGGGGCAGAGGGAGCTTTGTGGGCCTGTGCCAAATGCCCCTCCCTGTACTGGAAGGTGTTCACACAGGTGCGTGCATATCACAGAGGCCCTACTGCTCATGTTGGGTGTGAGCTCCCACAGCAACACACATCAACTGACAATGGCTTTGACAACATGCCGCCAGTGACTCTGGGGTTATTCCTTGCTGCTCTGTACATGAAACTGCCTCCCACAATACAAAGTAAGAAGGGAAGCAAGCCAGTTAACCACTTGGCACATGAAGCCAGCCGGGGAAAAAAGGCATACCTCAAAGACGGCCAGAAGGCATGGAGCAGACCCCTCCTTCCCAGCTGCCACCCCACGCCCACCCCCACCCTCGTATGCCAACAGGCCCTCCTCCACCCAGAGGTCGCCATGTTCCCCCCTCAGTTCTTAGGATATCAGCCTTCAAGTGTCTTTTCCCTGCCTGCCTTGCCTGCACATCAATTTCTTGCCAAATTCGGTCTCAAATCAGTTCTTTCGTTCGGTTCCCACTGCTGCCACCCTATCTTAGACCATCTCCATCTCTCATTCCAGATTACTAAAAAGTGTCCCTAGGAGTGTCACCAGGCTGAAGCAGTATTTCTGTCATTTCCTCCACCAGGAGGCTGCTGGACCACAGAGAAAACGCAGCTTCACATCTCAACCGCATGAAAGACAGGCACCCAGCGCTGGTGTACTGTGGGGTCCCAGGGTTGCCCAAAGCCCAGCAGCACAGGAGCTAATTACCCTCAACTTATGCAAGTCAGGAAGTTTCCTAAGCCTGCTCTCTAGGCCTGGGCCTTGAAGGCCCCCAGTACTGCTCTGCCCACCTCCTCCCCTAGAGCAGAGGGATCACCTGCCTGAATGAGCTCCATGGACCAAGCGCAAGACCCCCTTCCCTTGCCAGGCACAGCATCTGTGACAAACCTCTCCAGTTTTCACTTTGACTTGTTTATTGAGCCTAGGAATTTTTGTTTCCCTCTTGTAAGTTCAGCTATCCAGGTAAAAGAATTTGTTTTTTATCCAAAACCTACACATGCTCACAGCAAGAGTAATCAGGTTACCTTATTCCACCTAATGCCAAAACTCTGCAGAGAATTACACAGTTGGTTCTACAAATTCAAGAACGAAGCTGTTTCTGCAGAAACTAGCTGAGTGGCACGGGGGATTTCATGACCAGGATGATGACAAGTGTCTCTGCCAGGCTCTGTCACTACTCCCCAGGCACGGGGGGGGGAGGGGCCAGTTACCAATGACACGGTGGCTGAAGTAGTCAGGCAGCATCCGCTCACACACAGCAACCAGCAGCCAGAAGGCCTCCTCCTCTTTGGCGTACAGCAGCAAAACGGAGGTCAGGATGTTCATGGACTGCTCGGGGGTTCACAGAGGATGGACAGTTACTGACCACACCACACCACGCAGTGCCACAGAGACATTACAAAATACACAAGCTCAAGTGATCCCCAAAAGTCAAGCCTGGGTAGGCAGAGACCCACTGTAGCCCAAACACGCTGTCACCTGCCAGGTGGAGTGACCATGACACCAACATGGTCCTCAGAGGATGCAGCAGGCTGAGCAACCAGCTGCCACTCCACCACGTCCCCACCGGGCAGTGCTGGGATTAGCTGTGGTGCATGCCTCCAGCTAACACCAAGTCCAGCTAAACTCTGTGTGCTCAGACACACACACACACACACACAACTTCACTCACCACTGACCTTGCGTATCCACAGGAAAATAAAGTTTAAAATCTTCTATTTTCTAATGTTGGAAGCTTCCCGAATCCTGTCATGCCCTGGATTTTTTTCTTGTTTTAGCTTCCTGGTTTCCACTCTGCACTTGTTTCCTGCACCCAAGTGACTGGGCTAATGTCCCAACTGAACTCAGGAGGACATCTCACCTGTAACTTCTGTAGAGGTCTGGAAAGGCAAAGGTCCACAGAAGCAGAGGCCTGGAGGGGCAGCGAAGGTGGAATCTGCCTGCCGTGGACAGCAGCTCAGCAGGTGCACTGCTCTGCTCAGGCAAGGGCAGTGCTTCCCATCTCCCATCATCAGCCTGCCTGACTGCCCTAGGCTGAGTTCCGTCAGCCCCATTCCACACATTCTTTAGGGGAAGGCGCCAAGCACAGAGCATTCACATGACAGCCCTAGGTACTGCGTGGCAAGCCAGACCCCAGAGCGTGGTGGTCAGCACAAGATGCGGGCTAAAGGATCTCCACCCCTCAGTGCATTCCTCACCTGGCAGTACCCGATTTTGGGGTTCCGGTGGGCATAGGCCGTCAGGACTCTCCGCAAAGCGGCGATGCCCGTTTCGTTTTGGAAGGCAGGGTGCTCTGGTAAGGAGCGGTGCAGGTCCCGTTCTATCTCCTCCGTCACCAGGCAGCACTTCCCCATGGATGCCTCCACCAGGCTATTGTAGTAACCAGGATGGCAGGCAAGCTCGGTCACAGCATCTGGCAATTGAAAAGTAGTGCTCAGGGGGACTGAACTCCAGGTAGTGTCAACATGGGGAGGGGCTTGTCCTGCTGGACAACCTCAGTGGAATCTCATTACTTGAGGGACAGAAAATAATTTTTGGGGACCACACAAAACCAAATGGACTTTGTTTCTGCCAAAAACAAAGAAGGAAGAAAGAATATGGCTTCCCTAAGAATACCCTTATAAGGAGAGGAGGACACTCACACTAGAAATAGCTTTATTAATGTGCTTTTAATATGCTGTATTCCCTGTAACAGCAGTTGTGTATATACACATGCACACACACATACACTTATATACACAGACACACATGCACGATCATGGATTAATTCAACAAGCAATTATTGATCACCTGTATGTGAAATGCACAAGAAGGTGCAATTATCATTAAGTAATGTCAACCAGTATCAAGGGGTAACAAGCTGCCCATAGGAAATGCTGAAGCTGGGTTCATCCAAGCAGATGACCAAACAGCTCTCCCACCGAGCTCCTGATGGGCAACTCCACACCCTACAAGGCTTCCAGCCACACACGGACCAGCACCATGGCATCTGGGGTTACCCGGTGGCCCCCCACCCCAGGCAGCAGACGGGTGCCAGTCCTGACGCCAGCCCCATGCAGGGAGGAGCAGAAGGGGCCCAGTTCCACCTTTGGCTACTAGTGAATGGCTTTTAATTCTGATCCAGTTTAGTGTGATAAACCTCCTTCCCAGCCCTCCCACCCATCAGCAATGACAGATTCCCACCACATCCGTTAAAGAGTCACCCTGGCATTCACATGTTCCGATGGGCACTTACTTAGCAAGAGCTTAAGCACGACAGCGATCTTTCTGTCAACAAAGGAAACATCCTACCTTGTGGGAAAGATAGCCCTTGATGAAGTGACTATGCGGTCTTTGAGAGAGAGAGAGAGAGAGAGAGAGAGAGAGAGAGAGAGAGTGCGTGCGTGTGTGTGTGTGTGTGCGCATGCTCACTGAGGAGACCCAGAAGACAGAAAACCAATGGCATTAACAGGTGTCACCCCAGTGTTGGGACTATGACGACTGTTACTTTCTTTGCTCTCTGCTCCTCATTCTTTTCAATTAGGAATAGAAAGTATTTTTATCAAATAGGAAAATACAGGAGAGGTTTTACATTTTAAAAAGGAGTTCTTCCATCATAAGGCCATCACTGAGCAGCCAGGTGTTACAAGGGGAGCCAGGACAGAAGAGAGAGCTTCCGTCTGCTCTCGGGGATGCGCCGTGTGCTCCGGGAAGAGGGAACAACAAAAGTGTGTGCGGAGGGATCTCATCACACGTGAACAATTTAGGAAGGGCTGTTGTTCAGTCTACTTCAGAACTCATGACCTAGAAAGACACTTCACCTCGAGGGGTTCCTGAATTGCCAGGACTATGTACAGACTCACAAAGTCATTTTTAAGGGTGAGGAGATCGCTTCAGCCAGTGACCAAGGAGGACACAGCAGCCCAGAGGCCTCAGGCAAATCGACCCAGGTCCCACAGCAGACACGGTAAGGGCGCCGAAGTTCCTGACTGGGAACGTCCCAGAGGAACCCAAAGACAAATGGCCCAATGTCGGACCTGACGACACGGGAAGAACGTACCTGAGAAAAGGAGCCAGAGTTTGCCGCGTAAAGATTCAGGGATCCCCATGGCCACAAGCTTCCGGATCTTCTCTGTGCGAAACATACACACAGTTCTGCCATATTCCACAAAGTGGTCATTCCACAGGCTTATTTTTATCTGTTCTCTGGACTGAAAATGGAAAATTCTTGATGTACAAAGAAGCCTCCCCACACCTCCCACCACAGCCCATCCAAAGTCCATGATGGGAAGGTTGCCTCTGTTAACAGAGGCACCAACACTGAGAGGCAAGTTGTTCAGCACACATTTTTGAAGCTCTAGCAGGCACAGAGGATGTAAAGATGAGTAACACATAGCCCCAGCCCTTCAGGAGTTCAGAAACCAGTGGGAACATTTACACAAATAAAATGTCATTTTCTTGGCAAAGCCGGTAGTAAGAATACATTTATCCAAACACTAACGCAGCCCAAAGCAGACGGGTAAGGTGGGAGGGGGCATGTTAGAGGAAGCCTCTCAGGATGTTGACACCAAGCCAGCAGTTGAAGCAGAGGTCAGCTCACAGGGCAAAGGGGAGCATGGGGTGTCACATAATTTTGCCTGAGCTTCCTGATAGCCAGAGGAAAAACTGAAACCTAAAAAAATTACATTGTTCTCATTATCAGCAACAAGAAAGACACTATTTTTCTAGGCAACTAAAAGTCCTTTAAAATTACCCCTAGATGGCAGGAATTTTTAGTGCCTTTAAACAAGGTGTTTAATTATCTATATTCTCCAGTAATGGGGGAAGCTTACATACTCACTATTCCTGCATGTTTAGTCAACAAGAGTTCATTGAGCATCTCTGCACGAAGCATATGAGGAGGTATGTGAATAAAGCAAACAATTGATTCACCAGTCCATTAAATGACCGAGATGCAGCCTGGGGTGAGGCTCACTGCCACCCCGGTTACCCTGTCACAGCACAGCTTCCCTCCTGCCATTGCACCATCTCAAAGTACAACTATTTACCCTACTGTACCTGAAATTTCCCTCAGATTCTCCCTACGAGGAGGGAAAGTGTAAGTAAATAGGATAGAAATATATTTAGTCCCGTAAAACTGGAAGACAGGACGCTTTTTGTCCCAGGAGGGAGCCACTCCCACCCCCAACACCCTCTGCAGCTGGAAGAACCCAGCAGGGACGGTGCTGATGGCTCTGGATCCCCAGGAGAGAGCCCCCTACAGGGCAGGTGGGGGAGCAGCGGCCTCACTGCAGGGCTGTACCCTTGATGTCCCCAGCCGGGCTGGGCAGCCAGCACAGCTGACCCTCTGTGTGGAGCCCATGAGAGGTAGACAGGAGCCCTGGCAGCCTGCACTGCACCAACTCTCCTGGGCCCTCCTGGGCAGGTGCCCACTGGGAGACCACGGGGGCCCCTCGGCCAGCACCTAGCAACCCACCATGCTGGCATCCGGGCTCTGGCTGGCTGACCACCGGCAGCTGGTGATCAGGGCTGCAGGGGACAGCCATGGGATCTTCTCTGTTCCACTGTCCCCACTATTTGGAGAAGACACCATTTCCAGATCCCCAAACTTGTGGTCACTACACATACTCGTTGAATGAAACATGGGGGAAGTCTGTGTAGAAACAAAATGTGAGACAGAGAGAAGAAAGTCATTGCCTTAATTACAAGGATGGTCTTTGTTTTGCCCTTAGAGGCGTGCACATCACAAACTTAACCATGCTTGTCTCTTTATGAGTCAAGGGAAAAGCGGATTTGCCCCTTAGGAAGAATGTGATCCACACCCCTTCCCAGTGAGGGGGCACACGGAGTCCGGGGCCAAGCTGTGGCCAGGAGGGCACCACTTCTCCTGTACCTGCAGAACTGAGGACGACCAGCTCGGCTCGGGAAAGCAGCTCAAGGCTGCGGAGACTTTACCTCCTTTCCTCCCTATCATGATGGGGTGGAAAGAGGTCAGGAGAGGCAGGACACCTGGGAGGAGCAGAAACCAAGGCCCAGTGGTGCAGGGGCTATTTCTACAGCTGCCCCCACTTTCAGACAGTGGAACTTCTCTTTCAGCCCCAGGTGACGTCATCCCCTCCAAACACAGGGTTGGGAGGCACTGAAGCTGTTAACCTGGGGAGAGGGTGTATATGATCCTGTGGGTTGATTTCCTATCAAACCCTCCAACCCTCTGAGGGGGTGGATATACCCCATCAATGCCTGACACATGGAGGGGACACCCATCAGCCCACTAACCTCTGTGGGGGTCAGTGTACCCCATAACCCCCCAAACCTGTAAACAGGATACCCCACAGCCCCTCCAACCTGTGAGGTGACTCCCCATCATGTCCTCTGTGCAGCACCCACTCTAGACCCCCAGCGTATCTTACAGAAATGATACCGCAGTCCAATACACAGGCCCAGTCATCTCTAACCTATTTTTCTTGTACCCGAGTGGATCATCATTGTGCGCACTGCCTTTTGTGGGGTGAAAAAGGGGACTTTCAACTCTTCTGAGGCCCATACCATGTCCTCATCTCGTGAGGTGTTGTAGTGCACAGGGTGGTCGGCGTGCACCTGCTTCAGCCTCACAAGCAGACCCTCCACCAGGCTGTCTCTGTCCTTGAGCTCGATGAACTGGAAGGCCATCTTGCTCCTGATGCTGACGATGATGGGGTTTGGCAGCAGGCTTGTGTCCTCCATCTTCTCGATGCTCACCACCTGTTGCAAACAGTTACACACACAAAGTGCAGCAAGAGAGAAGGGAGGCAGGCGTGTTATTACATATTCAAGAAATACCCTAAGACAGAGGCAAAACCAAATAACTGCAATAAGGAACTGGAATAAAGGTCTGAAAGTATAGAAGGAAGCACATTCACAGCAGCCAAGAGGTGGAAGTGACCCAAGTGGTCCATCAGGAGGTGAGTGGATGAACAAAAGGTGGTCTACATGTGCAATGGAATAGTATCCAGCCTTAAAAAGGATGGGAATTCTGACACCTGCTACAACAGTGGTGAAGCTGAAGACATTATGTTAAGTGAAATAAGCCAGACACAAAAGGGCAACTACCATTGATTCCATGTACTTGAGAGATCTAGTGTAGTCAAATTGACAGAAACAGAAAGTAGAACAGTGGCTGCCAGGCACTGGGGGGAGGGAGAAATGGGGAGCTGGTGTTTGATGGGCACAGAGTTTCAGGTTGGGAAGTAGAAAAAGTTCCAGGATGGTTGCACAGGAACATGAATGTACTTGGTCCCACTGAACTGGGACACTTAAAAATGGTTAAAATGGTAAATGTTATACTATGTATATGTTACCACAATAAAAATGACAATAAGTAAGACAACTCCTACTTTCTTACTTTGCTCTTCAGTGAGAATGTAAAATGAAGACATCTACTGCAGAAAAATGGCAAGGAGATGGGAGATCGCATGAATGAAAAAACTGGGTTTTTCCCCCAAAGAACAGTGCTTTCTCCACCTGCTACAGCAGCAGGGGCCTGGAGGTGTTGTCGTGGACCTGCGGGCTCTGTTACGGCAGGCATGCCCTGAAACCAAAGGACTGAGCTCATAAGGTCCAGAAGTAGACTCAGGCTGCTGTCCATTTCCAAGAAGAGAATTACAGAATTTTATAGGAGGAAGGGACCTGGCCCATATTAAAGGAAGCATTCTGTACATTCTCAACTGAAGTTCCAGGAGGGTATAAAAGCCAAGTAATCTGACATGTTTTTCACAAGGTGATACTTTTTGTAGGTTGCGTTTTTTCTGTCCCCTTTTTGTGGGAGAAGAGAGAGACTTCATCCCTAAGAGCTGTTGGAAAAGCTGTAATTGCTAGGTATGCACTTTTAAATAACAGCTTTATCAATAATGCCAAGGTTAGAATCCCATTCTCACCCTCCGCATCTTTGCAAATTTCAGGTAGCCGTAAAAACCACAGAAAAAACACGATACTCCCCCCTTCCCGGCCAAGTCGTATCACAACAACCAAGGGCTCAAGGACAAGCAGGCTCAGGAGCCCAGCCAGAGTGGTGGCTACCTCTCGGAGAGGAAGGATGACATTGCAGCAGCTGTCCTCTTTGCTGGCAAAGCAGATGTAACTGTCAGAGGTGAACATCCGCCCAGCAGTGTGGCAGCGACTGAACGGTGTCCACAGGGAACAGTCCACAACTGCATGCAGCTTCTCTCGCCTCGGCAGCCTGAAGAAAGCCCGGAAAAACTCGTTCTGTGCTCTGGCTTCCAGGTCCCTGGCAAAGGAGGGAGAGGGAAAAAAAGAGGCAGAAACAGTGAATGAACACACCTGGTCACAAAGGAAAAGACCCTGCACTGCACCAACTTGAAGGCACAGCCCAATTTGAAGGCAAGAAGGTGCTGTGGCCCTCAGGCTCCTGTACAAGTCACCTAGTTCACAGCCAACCTCTGGACCAGGTACTCAGAGTGGACAGGGTTGCCTCTGCACAGAAGCAATACAACAGACTCAGAACAAAATAAACATTCCTTCCTGGTTTGAGTTAACACTGTAAATTACCACAGAACCACTGTATAAGAATCTAGTTTCAAAAGGTCAGGTAACAACAAATGTTGGCAGGATGTGGAGCAATGGAAACCCCTGGGAATTCACTGCCCGTGGGAATGTGAAACAGTGGAGCCACTTTGGAAAACAGACTGGCCGTTCCCTCAAAAGGTTAAACATGGGGTTACCTAACATATGACACAGTAATTCCATAAATTATATAAGTTTAACAAAAACTTGTAGAAAGGGATGTGTAAAACTTTCCCTATAATGTTAATAGTAACTGTATCTATATAGGATTTCCACTTTTCACTTTTGTTCTACTTAAATTTTCTACCTGACCACATGCGATTAGCTTGCTTTTAATAATTAAGCTGTTTTAGGAGAGGTTTAACTTTTTAAATGTTGCATAAATGCAGGATACTAAACTGTGCACTGCAGCCCAGGTGATCTCTGAGACATGATGTGGTCATGGAGCCCCTGAGACTCAATCTCACACAATTCCACCTCTTGGGTATATACCCAAGAGGACTGAAAACACGTGTCCACACAAGAACTTGTACATGAATGAATGTTCATAGTATTATTATTCATAACAGTCGAACACTGGAAATAACTCAAAGGTCCACCACTTGAAAAATGGATAAACAAAATGTGATCTATCCAAGCAATGGAATATTATTCACCCATAAAAAGGAATGAAGGACTGACACCTGCTACAACATGGATGGACCTTGGAAAGCTCATGCCAAGTGAAGGAACCCAGACACAGAAACTACATATTGCCTGATTCCATGTATATGAAATTCCCAGAATCAGCAAATTTGAAAAGACAGGAAACAGATTAGTGCTTGCCTAGGACTGGGGGAAGGCAGAGGAATGGGGAGCGACCTCATGAGCACAGGGTTTCTTCTGGGGTGATGAGAATGCTCCAAAATTGATTCTAGTGATGGCTACACAGCCCTGTGAATTTACTTAAGACTGGTGAGTGACACAATTTGACAGGGTATGTATGAATTAAACGAACTGTACAAATTATATCTCAAAAAAAGCTGTTAAAAAATTTATATCTGTCCCTGGCATATAGTAAGTGCTTGATAAACATTAGCTATTATTATCTGTAAACAAACAAACAAAAAGAATCCAGGTAAAGTATCACTGGAGAGATGTCCCATCAGTAGGGAAGGGAGAGAAGAGTGGTGAGCCGGGGAAAGACGCTACCCCAGGGGACACTCCATCCTGGTTCTTGGCTCTAAAACCCAGCAAAGCCAGGAGGCTGCCAAATCAGTGTTTGAAATACCAATGAATTTAAGCCGTACCCCAAAATTCTAGTAAAGGGGAAATTCCAACATACAGAGATAAAAACTTCCTTGTCATATTATGTAAGAGTTCCTTAAATTTATCTGACAGAATTAGCACTTTGTTTGAAGTCAGAAATATGAACTCTGGGCTTTCTTATTCATGTAAGGGATACTTACTATATGCCAGGGACAGATAAAAATTTTTTAACAGCTTTTTTGTGTGACCCTGGATGAGGTCCTGGAAGATCTCCTTTGACACCTGTAAAATGGAAATAATACCTAACCTTTCTGCTTCAAGGTATCCCTGAAAATATAAAATGATGTCCACAATATTGCAGGAGAGGAAAAGCAGGTTGGAAATGGCATCTATAGTATGATCCCATTATATAAGTTTAACAAAACTTGTAGAAAGGGATGTGTAAAACTTTCCCTATAATGTTAATAGTAACTGTATCTATATAGGATTTCCACTTTTCACTTTTGTTCTACTTAATTGCATAAATGCAGGATACTAAACTGTGCACTGCAGCCCAGGTGATCTCTGAGACATGATGTGGTCATGGAGCCCCTGAGACTCAATCTCACACAGCAGGGCCAACTTCCACTCAGACACCCCTTCCTCACTAGCTCTCATGTCTAACCCAGCCCTCACCCCACACTGTCGCACACATGTCTTCCGTGGAAGCATCACACAGAGCTTGGGCAGTCCATGGAATTTATTATCAAACTCTCACAAAGAGAAGACACATACGTATCCAGAAAGTCATCTGGGCACAGGGAAAAATGATACAAATTCTACACATCAAGACAGGTCCAGTTCCTGCAGGCCAGAGCCGCGGTTCCTTAAATACCTGAAAAACATGAAGGCTGCTTCCAAAGGAGCCTGAGCTTCTCCAGAAAGGAGCTTGGAGAACACAGGGAGGCACCGTGAATGCTCTGGAAGCCCTGGTGCTGCAAGAACGGAAGGCAAGGCCCTGCCAGGTACCCTGGGTCCCTGAAATGGACCTATGTTCAACACACCGACACTGGAGACGTATATCCTGTCCCCGGCATTTCCTGGCCATACTGGCTTTGGTGAAAGTAAAGCCAATGCTTCCTACAAATGTGGCTCCTGCCAGCACTGAACTTGCTGTTGTCTTCTCCCTCCTGCAAGCACATCCCAGTTCCGTGGGGGATGGCTGAGGCCAAGGTGACCACGTGGCAAGTGCCATGGATCACAGCAGCAGCTTGACTGGGCTGCAGGGGAGGGTGGCAGGACTTATATTTATACTTATACTTTGCCTAGCCCTTCGAATTAAGAATAAGGTGTCCAGTTTTCTGAGGCAGATTAAAAGCAATTTTCTTTCTATTTGGTGCTCTGGCTGCCTCAGCCAATAGCTGAGTCCAACCTCCTCCTCTGTGGCTTCTGCGCAGCCTGTGGATACAACTCACAGTCTCCATTCTCCTTGCTGGGCTCTCCTCGATCAGACTGCAGACATTTGTCCCTCGTGCAGGCAGTAGCCAGAGACTGGTGACCTCAAGTCACTGAAAAGAAGGCAGCAGGAGGGACTTTCCTAAATTATCTTCCTGCCTTAGAAAGCTCTCTTCCATTTCAACCTCTGTGTGTGTTATATACATGACATTTGACTTGAGAGATGAGAAGCACAGCCCTCCATGAAGCACAGAGTAAGAGCACCCCATCTCTTAGGGCTGTTGTAGCAGATCTGTGGGGGCAGCTTAGGGAAACAGGCTATAGTTTTCATGCTAAGTATATCAACTTCTTTTTCTGAAAAGCACCAAAAACAAAGCTCACTGGTCATGACTTGCCTTTGAGGCCTTTCAAGAATTACCAGTATCTCCACTTTTCCTCCACGGTGACAAACAACCGACATGAGTCATAACCTAACTGGGAAAGCAATAGCGGATCTCAGGCCTGCACACCACGGCCGAGGCATCCTATGAAGACGGAGACCAGCCCAGCTGCCCCGTAGTCTGCAGTACCTGCCGTCCACATGCTGGGATGCACAGGCCAAAGCAACGGCTCCAAGGGGAGCTAAGCTGAGAAGGTAGGGGACGCTGCCACAAACCACCCCATCCTGATACACTCCGCGTTATGAACCTGTAGCCAGGTGGACAGTAAGTATGGACTGATCAGAACATGTAGCTATAAACCTCGGTTGTGTTGTTGAAGATAAATTAACATGGGCAATCATACATGATGACCATTCAGAAAACTCTAGACTATATGCACACATTTTGAAAATTGTATTTAATTACCAAGACCATGGACCCAAGAAACTAAGGGGTAAGTAGTTCTTTTGTTTCTCTGCAAGCCTAGTGCTGGACTTCTCTCCCCTAGTGCAGGTAAAAATGTATCAAGAATAGGTTCCCCCCTCTCTTCCCTTGCTCAACCTTTTAGAATGCGTTGGGGGAGACTTGTGTCTGGTCTTACACACTAATTCCCCCTCCACATGACACACGTTCCCCACACACAAACCTACTGTGGGTCAGCAGGATTAAAGCTGCTCCCAGGTCGAATGTTCCCCCAGATTCAGGCTGTGTGACAGGCTGGGGCAGGTGGGCTCAGGGTGCGAGGACTTCCTGTGTGTACCCAAGGCAGGGAGCCTCAAGCCGCCTGCCGGCCCCCCTGGGATCACTCGGCCCTCTGCAGCAGGTTTGCCTCACAGGCAAACACAGAGATTTCCTGAGGCTCTTAGTCACATGTCCACCCAGGGATGCATGCTGAATGTGTTTAAAACGCTGGGAAATACCACAAACCAGCAACCTAGAAATAAAGCAAAAGGCAGACAAATGTGCTTCTCCTCAAAGCCCAAGTCTGCATGTAAAACACTGTGTTTCTCAATGTGGGTTTACTCAAAGCATCTTTGCCCTGTCACCCCCAGGAGCGCGAAGGAAATGGAAGGATGGTGTCACCATGTGGCACCCTACACAGAGCACATACAGCCCAGGACCCCAGGGCGTGGGGGCAAGGGGGCAGGGAGGTTTCCCAGCCCTCCCACAGCAGGTGGCCGTGTGAAGGTGGATTCAGCTGGTTCCCACAAGCCCCCCACAGTTCCTCTGAAAATCCATCCACAGAGCCCAACAGACCAGGCCCTCAGTAATACTGAGCATCTGTAAGGCTTCTTCACTCTCAAGGAAAGGTTCTGCTTTGATCCTCTTCTCCCTTCAGTCCCAGACAGAGCCACCCTTTGGGACCCCAGTGACCATGGAGCAGCTGGAGGCCTGGGGATGTGGGCCTTCCCTTGGGAGGTGGGGGCTGCTTGGGGCTCACGAGCCCCCAAGAGACACCGACACTGAGCTGGGATCAGGACAGGAAGTCGAATGAGTTACGCCAAGCAAGCCTGGGCATCCTAGCAGGGACACGGCCAAACAGCAGGAAAGTAATAATCTGGGCAAAGGCCGCAGAGGCTCTGAAACCAGACTGGAAAGTTAAGAACCAGCTGGGCGATGGGGAATGAGCGTCTCTCACTGAGGACATCAGCCCCTTGGTGGCCACGGCCCACCTTTAGACACTGGCAGAAAGAGCTTACATTGTGGCAGTTTCCATAGACTAGGTGGCATTGAGTTTTCTTCCTGCATTTTTCAGCCAGTCAGTACAGATTTTAATGAAGACATTAATTTCAATTAAGTGAAGCCCATCACCTCTCCAGTCTCTCCCTGAAAACAGCTGACTACACTTTTCTCTAACCATCATTCATGAGTACAGAACGGTATTTTGTTTGTCAATTGCAGGATCAATGAACATACTGCCCACCTTCCTGCACCCTCTCCCTGGAGCCCCCTCGCCCCTGCAGGCACCAGCCCTCCCGGATTCTCTGCCCCACTCAGTGGAGAGTCCCTGGTTCAGGCCCATCTGTGAAGAGAGAGGTGACAGAGGACGCCCAAGTCCTGCCAGCTCTAACTTGTCTGACTGGATCCCATTGTGCCCGCAGCCCCCCAGCCTTGCCACTTCAACAAGGGGTACAGCCTTGCTCTGCTTGGGGTCCCTGAGCCCCAGGAGGGAGCATGTGCAGCACCCATAACCAAGCTCTCATCAGATGGCTGGACAAGCTCATGACCCCAGGGGCACCTTCCTAAAGCCGTTATCGGAAAGGGAAGGGAAAAAGTATCAACAACAGGGAACCTGAGGAGCATTCCAGCACTTCAGACTGCCCTCAGCATGAAGAGACTGTTTTCCTAAACTTTCAAACCTGGGCTCTCTTGGCAGGGTGTCAAGGGGCCTGAGTCATTACCTGTTTATGTCCACAGGCCCACATCTCCAGGACAGAGAGTGACAAATGAGAAGCAGTGAGCAACGAGGAGGCAGTGGCTCGCCTTCTGCTTTGTGGGGAAGTCACTCAAGTGCAGTGGCCAGCAAAACACACCGTGGCCAGGACTCCACTGACCACCAGCCACCACCGGGCCCTCCGGTCATTTCCTCTTAGAAAGCAGAGAAGGAGCAGCCTTGTGGAATTCACCTCTGGAACGTGAATGGGGGCTGCCCATGCTGCTGGAGAATGATTTCACCTTAAATGCTACAGACCTGTGGTTTTCCTCTTCTTTCCCCACTTCTACCCCAAACCAGAACGCCGCGTCTGGGAGTGCTGCCATGAAGGAACACAAGGACACTTGTGGGGAATCACTGAAGTCCCAGCATCCGAGGAGCTGACCAGAACACACAAGGATATTAGCTGGCCTCCCACTCTGCAGCCTGGTGGCTGTGATTCACACACTTTCATACCTGTGTGCAAACTCAGTGAAACAGGTAAAATCTTTAATTGGTGATTTATACAAGCTCTTTCACAATTCATATACTTGACACTTGATCCTTCATTTTTAACAGATCTTTGTAAGCTGGACTAAGATACCAAAACATTACAGAGATGTTTGAGGAAAGATGGGAGAGTGGGCTTCCCACTGAACTGGCTTGTCTTCTCAGCCCCTAAGACAGAGCCAGAGACAGTAAAGGGAAACCTGGGGTTGGGAGGTACACAGAGGAGCTCAAGGCTGAAAAGCAAAGGACAGCACCCTGAGGGGCCCCCTTCACAAGGCAGGGCCACCAAGAGATGTCACCTCTGAGCTAGAATCAGCAAGACAGAGAAAGTTGAATGAACTACACAGAGCGACCCTGGACATTCTTAGTAGAGTGACAGAAGAACAGCAGGAAAGGGGTATCCCCTCCCCCCATGTCACCATGGAATTGTCAGGTTATCAGAGATGATGCAAAATCAAATGAAATTCACTGGCACTTTACCAAAAAATCGGAACATTTGATTTTGACCTTTGCTTTATTTGTGACTATATGTGATTTATTTAAAATGCACACAGCAGGAAGATTCTTTGATATCTTTCTGAATTCTAAACACACTGCTGTTCAGAGACCACTGAAGAAAAAGACACATGCTCTCCCAGATGTTCAGAGAAACAGCACACATGTTTAAGCAATAATTGGAATGTTACAACATAAAATGTTACAAATATTAATATTTTTAAATGACTAGACGTAGAACGACATAGAAATACCACATGGTCCCACAATTCCACTTCTGGGCATATACCTAAGAGAAGTGAAAACAGGATACAAACACATATTTGCACCCCCATGTTCAGAGCAGCGTTATTCACAGTAGCCCAAAGGAAGAAGCAACTCAGTGTCCATCAGCAGAAGACAGGTAAGCAAAACGTGGTCTATCCTTGCAAGGGAGTATTATCCAGCCTTAGAAAGGACAGAAATTCTGCTACAACATGGATGCATCCTGAGGACATTATGCTAAGTAAAATAAGCCAGGTAGAGAGGACAGATACCATATGATTCCACTTACACAAGGGACCTACCGTAATCAGATTCATAGAGACAGAAAGTCAAAGGCTGGTTGCCAAGCACTGGGAAGGCAGGAGGAGCAGAGGGTTGTTATTCAATGTGTACAGAGTTTCAGTTTTGCAAGACAAGAGTCCCGGAACTGGAAGGGGTGACAGTTGCACAATGACGTGAATGCCCTTAATGCCACTAAGCTGTACACTTAAATATGGTGAAGATGGTACCTTTTATGTTATGTGTATTTTACCACGACAACAAAAAAATTCTTTTTTTAATGACTACTAGAATTTAAATAGCAATGGTGATTCTGTAACTACACCAGAAACATCCAGCCAGGCCAGCCCTGCACAGGGGACTTGTTTTTCAAAGGAAGCCTTTGAATGGTTCGCCTGTGCAGCTACCCAGTTTGAACCACCAAGTCAGAAATCACAGCCACACTCAAACACGACAGTTTCAATTTTAGACCATATGGTGAACTTCTTTAAAGTGACAAATAATTCAAGCAACTGCCTCAAGTCTCTGAGACTAGTATCAATTTAGGGCAAACTAATAATAAAGAATGTTGACTTACACTACTAGGAAGGCCTATTTCCAATGGCAAATTGGTACCAAAAATAAACCCCGCTGCCTTGAAAACTTATTCCACTAAGTAATTTAATATGAAAACACAAAATTTCTTAATAGTCACTAGTAAAACACACTGCTGAATGGAATTCTATCATGAAGCTATCCATATTACATTTTCCAGAAGTATTTTTATGAAAATCAGTTTTGAAATATCTGGAAGAAAAAAAAGAGAATTCGACCCAGAAATTGAAGTCTAACTGCATAAAGGAAATAAATAATAATCACCACCAATCATATCACTGTCAAGATTAACAGCATAGAAAAATTTGGATTTTGCCACTAGGGAATTTAAGTCTAGTTCAATGGAGACAAACACAGCACATGTAAATGAAGATGGTGCACAAGCCATGTTCCCCAGGTGATGGACACCAGGGACAGGAAGCTCTTACCTCTTGGTAATCTGGCTTGGCTCTTGCAGATCTGGGTCCAGGTCAAAGCCCTCATTATCCAGCAGCCTTCGAAGAGTCACGTCGGCCAGCTGCTCCATGATCTTGAACACCTCGTGGAGGTTCAGGAACATGGAGAAGTCACGTTCTTTATTCTGCGTGGTGATCCGGATGGTATCCGTCAGAAAGACATTGGACGTTCTTTCTAGCTTCTGGATATCTACCCAAGGGACTACAAGCTTAACTAGAAGAGAAAAAAGGCAAATGCATATTTATCCTAAAATTTGAACCCAACTTGAGTGCATCAGCAAACAACAGTCCAAGGCTTTCCTCAAGCTGAAGTCTGAATACCTTTTAAGCCAGAGCAGGAAAGAGGAGGCAAAGAACTGCTAACAGCTATTTGCTAGAGCACAATCATGTCTTATGATTCTCCTAAAGATTTTGGGAAAACTTTCCAAGTTGCTGGATACTGCACACCTACAAGTGACATCATCCTTGACACTGCTCAAGTAGCCATGGGAAAAGCTTCTCAAGAATATTTAAACTTAAATATCTACAAATTTAAATATTTAAACTTAAATATGCACAGTTTCCCAATCCACCCAAATTCTAGTTTCAAAAGTAGAAAAAAGGGAGTGCAAAAGAGGATTATTTGTGATCTGGTTTAGAGAAGCAGGCTTAACATTTAGACTGTGTCACATGACAGTTGCTAGAGTCTTAGAAGACAATACAGGGAGTTTTAAAGTAATACAGTACACACAGTATATTTTATAAACATGTGTTCTATTCTGAGAAATTTTTCCAAGGCAGTGGTAGTGAGGCTAGCATGCTAATGCAGAGCAAGTGGGGAAGGGACATATATAACAATTTAAAATAAGTGTGATAGAATATTAGGAATCATTTTTCCAAGCATTGTCATCTTAACAAAATTAGGTTTAGTGACAATGACAGATAAGTGTTAGAAAATAACTCGCTTTCCTTTCCAAGTAAGAGGAGATGATTAAGTGTTTTTATTTCTACCATTTCTTTCCATTTATTTTGCAATAATGTTTTCAGTGCTTTAATAATTTAAATGGCCACATTTCTACAGCAGCCTTGAGAACAGCTTTGTCAGCTACTTCTAGGTGCTTTCACACTGGTCTTCTACACAAGTACAGACACATACTCTACCTACACCCACTAAGTATCCCCTAGGGAAAGAGCTCTGCTCTTATGGAGCTCGTTCAAATAGGGAAAACCGGTAAGTGGCCACCGACATGACCAGATCCAACATGGAACATGAATATGGCACAAGTCGTAAGGGGACCAGGGAAGGTCACTGGAGGTTGCAGAATCTGAACTGATTTTGAAGGATAAACACAAATTTCCAAAGTGGCATAAGAATGGGGAAGGGAAAGAAAGACAAGGGTTAATTTGGAGAAGCATTTCAGAAGGTAGAAGGACAAGGACCACACCGATTAGGTCAGAGCTCGTTCCAAGGGCAGGTAGGGCTATGCAAACACACTGTATGTCCTGGAGCATCACAACTGAGGCTGGGGCATGGGCACGAGGAGGTTGACCACGTGCAGGAAACTGGCCACTGCAGGATTCAAGAGGGACCCCCCACAGTTCAGTCTGAAATATAAACTTAAATGCAGGAAAGAAAAGAGAGAGAGAGAGAGAGAGAGAGTGTGTGTGTGTGTGTATGTGTGTGTGTAAATACAGCATCCATACACCCTGAGCAGGCACTTGAAACAATATTTGTTTTGATGGAAATGACTTTTTAAAAATTCTATATACAGCTGACACTTGGGGCTCTTTTTTTAAACTCTGGATTTCCACTGCCTAGCACAGTGACTGTCAGTGAATAGATGTGTGTAAAGTGAACCACTGCCTGAATGTCAAGTGGACCAGCTGAAGAACAACGGTGTACCCAGCTTCTCTTTTGGAAGCTGTCGTGACCTTCAGGGTTGGGAATGCTTTTAGCGGCAGTGCCCCCCCGCCCCCCCGCTACTGCCACCACGTGTTCAGGGCAGCAGCGTGTTCTAATCCTTTACAACTACCGGGCCATCAGTTATAACACTGTTTTCAAAGTTATAGTAGTTAGAAAACCCTTCAGTAGCTGTATGACATGAGCTACCCAGAAATCTCAAAGGCAGCAGAAAAGATGAATTCTCAAAAAACCAAACCCCGTTGGGCTGGAGGTATATATAATTATATAAAACTATATAAGCCATTCGGAAGTTAATCAAGTATCACCTGTTACCGTCACAACTGACTTTGATCTTCTGTCATCTAACTTCACGCTGGCGACCTATCTCAGGACCAGGCTGAGCCCCCAAGGGCCAGCCTCACCCATCAAGGGCCAAATGGCTGCCGGTTCCAGAGCCCCACTTACGTTCCTTGCCCAGCAGGAAGGAGTAGAAGCAGAGGTGGTTGGTGCTGAGGTACAGCCAGCCCTGCCGGGGAACCCTGCCCTTCCAGCAGCAGCAGGAGTAATAGGTGACCAGCTTCTCGGCCTCTGGGAAGTTGAACCTGGCCTCAAACTTCACCAGCGCCTCTCGGAACTTCTCGGGCTCCTCCTCCAGCTCCGCAAGCCTGCTGCTCGTCTCCTCCGCAATCAGAGCCTGATGCACAGAAAAATAACGGCCCCCTAGCTGAGCAAGAGGGGCAATGGAGTGGAGGCCAGAGGGACGGAGAGGGAAGGTCAGCCGAGCTCGGCACCCGAGGACCTGCACCACTCAACAGACTCCCAGGACGGATGAGAACAGCTCACCACACCGTCTGTTGGGCCCCCAGAAACGCGGCCACCGCGGGAAAGAGAAAAGCCAGGGCACAGAAAACCTATGAACCATCTCTCACTTGGTCACTTACTAGCTGGGAGTCTCTGGGTGAAGCACTGACCCCTAAGCCCCACTTCTCAAACTCGTTACTGTTTAATACACCTCCCTGCTTACCCTATAGGAATTTGAGGATCTAATGACCTGCTCACTGTGTGAACACAACGCATCAACCCTGAAGAACTATCCGAGTTTGAGTTAAAAGTCAGTCTCTTTAAAAAGGCTAATAAATGTCCCCCTCATTAGGTTAAAAAATGTTAACCCGCAGTTATCAAGTGCCTGGCTGTGTGACACCTGACACATCTCACTACCACTAGATATTCTAGTCTGCTAGTGGGAAAGCAACAGGTGGGCCCAGCTTCCTGGTTACAAACACCTCCAGAGCTTGCGATGTATGGAGAGGCAGGGCAGGGAAGAAAAGCACCTGAGCCTACAACTGTTCTGATTGTGGTAAACAGCAAGGATCCTCTAGAACTGGGGTAGGGTGGCACAAGTACCTAGAATTTAAGCTTGTGGCCTGTTCCTCAGGGCTGACAACTCGTTGATGAATCAGAATCGTGGTGGCCGCCCCCATGAACCCCCTGTACACAAGAGCAGCCGTTTAAGAATTCCTGGGCCTAGGGCATCTTATGTTACTCAATTTTTGAAATATGTTTACATATCTATCCTTGTATTTATTTTCATTAGCACTTCCCTCCCTCTTTACTCTTACAGGTATGTTTCATGCAAGGCTGTGTCCCTTAGGACAATTCTGAGGGATTGCTACCAAAGCCTGCACTGTACAAGCTATTTTAGGAAATAACCTGAGCATCACCATTAAAATAAAAATGTAATTTCAAACCATTTTTTAAATCAATCTGAAGGCTGGTAAAATTGCAAACGATTGTCATTTCCTTCATTATGATTTTCTTTCTTTCCCAAATTTTATTTAATAAGAATAGTCCTAAGAAAGACGAGTATTTTTAAAAGCCTATCTAACAAATAATCAATGCTCTGGACTGGTCACTGGAGGCATGGAGGGGATTTTTCAGAAGCTCTACAGGCAACCAGTCAAGGCTGCAGTACAGGATCCACTGGCTGCAGATGCAATGGCCCCCGTGTAGACTCCTGACCTCCATTGACACAGGGTCTGGTTACAGGCACAGTTCAAAGCACAGGGCTTTCTTTACAGCTGTACTGAGTGGCCGAATGTTCAGCATAGTTATAGGAAAGCCCCAACTCCCAGATCCTTTGGACCTGCCCAGAGGAAAGGGCAAGCCAACACCACCCAGCCTTGGCCCAGATGCAACCCTTGGTCCCTGGTCCCTGCAGCCTTCCTAGGACTGTTTTTTAAAAGGCAGTTTAGCTTTGACGTGTAGGAGAGCAGAATATGCCACTCCAGAATACACCACTTTGATGTAGGATTATTTCGAGATGAAGACAACTGAGAAACAGCAGATGCCAAAAAAGGCTCCCTGCCCTCCCCTACGATGTGCCTAAAAACAAGACATAAATGTCGGTTGTAAAGACTTCTCCCTCTCCTGTACCAGGGAGTGGAGGCTCCCTCTAGACTGAGCCAACACCACGTGAGAGGAAGCCCCATGACCAGCCTCACTGAGTGGCCCCTGTCCTCCAGCCTGCCCCCATGCTTCGCCTTCCCACAGGCTGCAGCGCCGAAAAGCCCAAGCTCCTTTCCCTCTGTCTTCTCACTTCCCTGTACACGTTCTTCGCTAAGATGCTCTGAGTCCAAGTCCCAGCACCCCCTCTGAGTTTCTCATCACCGAGTTTCTCCCATGGATTTGCTGCCTACACATGCTGATAAACTCTTGTTTGTCTGGTTAACCTGGCTTTTGTCAATTCCCAGGGTCCAGGAGGAGAAACTAGGAGGCTAGGGAGAGTTTTTCCCTCCCCTTCAGGAACTTTCCTGAAGCCACTGCAGCAGAAATGGATTTCCTTCCTCCAACTTAAGAGAAACACCTAAATCAAAGAACTACCTATGTTAAACCAAGAAAAAGGGGTAAGGTGTGAAAAATAACCATGAAATGGGCATTTCTGTGGCTGAACCCCACTGCAATCTGACCAGGAAACCAAGCCACGGTCAGCTGGACCAGGTGGAGATGCTGACCCACAGCTGGATGAGGCCCCACCACAGCCCAGGCCCGCCTGCTGACCCCACAGGCCAGAGGAGACACTAGGAGGACACCAGCCTACCCGGCCACGCTGCCTAAACTCAGGTGACCTTCGGTTTCTATATGATCCCGCAAGTATCCCCAAATGAACACGGGGCTTCTGTTTTGTCCCTTTAAAACCAAGAATTCACTCCGGTGCCCTTTTCTGAAAGCTGAAGCACTCAGGGAAAGGCCACCTTTGAGAAAAAAATATAAACAAAATCAATAGTCTGGGATGTTTTACCCTAAGAGAAGAAAGCTGTATTACAGGCTAATGTGTTAGAAGTGTTTAATAAGAGAGTTAAATTTAGAATGGGAAACAGTTTCTCCCTGCCTGGTAAGTTTTTTAAAGCACCAGCTACCAATCATCTTATTGCAATGAGACCAGTTATATAAGATGCAACTCAACATACACTTCCCAAAATATTCCTCTCTTGCCTTCTCAAAATTGACTTGGCTCTAATTCCCCTTGATTAACATACCTTAAGAACCAACATCCACTTTCCGGAGGAGGAAAGTGCTAGATCCAACTGAACGGTGACAAGATGTCACAACTGTAGAACAGTTAGGAATAACTAACTTAAGAACTCATATAGTATTGTTGCTCTGCAGAAATGTAAACCTTAACGTTGTATATTTTTTCCTAAGACAAAAAGGGACCTTTGCTTATGTAAATGATAACAAAAACGTAGGCCTGAGAATGAGGTCTTTTTTAAATTTCAGGCATACAATTGACCCTTGAACAACATGGGTTGGAACTGCATGGGTCCACCTACATGCAGGTTTTTCCAGTAAATATATTGGAAAAATTTTTGGACATTTACGACCATTTGAAAAACATTTTCTTTTCTTTAACTTATTTTATTGTAAGAATACAGTATGTAATATATATATACCCTACAAAGTATGTGTTAATCAACCGTCTGTGTTATTAGTAAGGCTTCTAGTCAACAGGAAGTCATTTATAGTTAGATTTTTGCAGAGTTAAAAATTACACACAAATTTTTGATGGTACCAGGTGGTGGGGGTGGGGGCAACTGGTGTCCCCAACCTCTGCATTGTTCAGGGTCAACTGTATATTGGCCAGACTGACTGCAGAATTTGGCAGCCGACAAGTAGAACCCGTTTGGCTTTACGTAATAAGCCAAGATGTTCAGTTAATTTGGAGAAAATGGTTAGAATATGGTTAAAAAATGCTGTAGTGCTCAAAATGTGGGAAAGATGGGAAAATCGGGAGGAACATTTCAACCAAGGGACTTACCTTTACCTTCCCTTTGACGAAGCTGGCGATGTCATCTTTATTATCAAAGACGGACAAGGTATGGAGGAGATTTTGTTCCAACCAGTCCCAGTGTTGGTTTATTTCCTCTAATGTTGCACCTGGGTAAGGACAGAAAAAGATTAAAAGACCAAAGTGACTCCTAGAGCATGAACTCATTTTCCAAAGTTCCTGAGTCCTGTATTTATATTATTAAAACACCTGGGTTTCTGCCACCCTGGGCCAGAGCATACAGGAAGGCACCCCATGCAGGAGCCATGGCGTCCCTCACCACAGCATGGGGATTTTGAACACCTGTCCCCTGCCACATGGATGGGCCAGTGGGCAAATCAGGTGACCCTTAGGACTGCTGTGTGGACATCCTGCCAGCCTCACTAATACATGGAATTCCTACCATATCCACTCAAGTGACAGAAACATTTGTAATTATATAGTTATGTCAGAAGAAAAATATCACAAGCAGCAGGTGAAGGTTCTATACAGTCCAACAGCATTTCTCCTGTGAGAAGTGGGATCCCTCAAGGGGGGCCTCAGCCCAGTTCAAAAAGGAAAGAGTCTCTTGAGAAGGCCCTGCTGGCCGGCTGAGGACACTACCACTTGTAACAGGCATCATTAACCCAACAGGCCAGGAAATCTCCAGGTTTACAAACCTATCCTTCATATCATTTACAACAAGATTTAAAAAATGTTTCCTGGTGGCTACTGCATTTTTATTATTCCATCTACTCCTCCACCATTGAACATCTCAAACAGGTTAACTGAAAAACACTACTTACCATAACACAAACACTGGTCTCTCTACCAGCCATTAGTCTCCCTTAAAACATATACAGAAAAAGGTTTTCCACTACATGTTAAAACAAGAACACAAAAATGTTAAGTCACATACAGTAAGTCAGTTTCTTTCCAAGGCAACTAAAACAGAACATCACAGCATTACTGAAGCTTTAAGCAACAGTAATGCCAAACACCTAGTCTTCTAAGCTGTGCTTCCAGGAGCCTCCTAGTCCTCTTCATTAGACAGGGGCACCCTGGCGCAGGCACATGCCCCCTTCCAGTGCGGGACCTGGCACAGCGCAGATGCCCCATAAAGCCCACTGGCTCAAAGCAACATGGTCCTGGATCAGAAAAGACATTGTGCACATCTAGCACAGAACTAGACAGGAGGGCCAGATTTCCCAAATGGGCAGCAGGAGACGTTTCAACCTCAGAGAAATTAGGGGCTACCAGACAAACAACAGTGCGGAAGAATCAAGCCACTGTGAGGGGCTTAGCAGTCAACAGAGCCACATACCACTTAACACAAAAGCCAGATAGGTACACAGTTACCACCAGACCTTCTGGTTATCACAGCCTCCCTCCTTGCAGAGTGTAAATGTGTGAGGGAATCATATAAAAACCCCTTGCCTGAAAGTGCCAGTGAACTCACTCAGGACTTGTGGATTTGGGGTCGGTGACCATGAAGCACACCTGTATGGAACACTTTCAAATGGGCAGTTGGGAAGGAATAAACAGCAGTATCTAAGATAATACTTCATAAGGAAAACTAGAGTGTAAAGCATGGTATTTATTTCCCTGTATTCTCCCAGATTTTTGGCTTGGCATTTCCAAAGCAATACCTAAAGTCAGGTTTCTCCTCAAAACTGGGAGGGCTGGTCCCTGGCTCTCTCCATCTGAAGTCTGTTCATCAGTCCAGGCCCTGTACCAAGAGCACCTGACCAGTAGATCAGTCAGCTCGGGCTGCTGCAACAAAAAAAAAAAACACAAACTGAGGGGCCTAAACAACAGCCTTTACTTCTCACAGTGCTGGATGCTTGAGGTCTAAGATCCAGGTGCCAGGATACAGGGCTCCTGGTGAGGAAGCCCTTCCTGGCTTACCAATGGCTGCCTTCTCACTGTGTTCTCACATGGCAGAGAGGGAGATTTCCAGTCTCTGGTCTCTCCTTATGTAAGGGCACTAACCCCATCATGGGGGCCCCACCCTCATGTCCTCATCTAAACATGATGACTTCCCAAATAGCCTGCTTCCACATACCATCAGATTGCAGGTGGGGACTTCAGTACGTGAACTAGGGGAGACACCACTCAGGTCATAACAACCAGTGCGCCTGCCCCACCAGCCATCAGTCCTACCTCCCTGTCTTGCTCTTTGTGAATCAATAAACCTAAGAAGCAGCCTACTAGGGGCTTAGAGGAGCTAGCTTGGGGTTTGTGGTCAAGACCTTCTTACTCTGTACTCCCCTCCCAGATGGGAGAAGGGCCCTATAGTGTCAGGAAACCCCTGGCCCTTCAGGCTCCCTGTTCCTCTTATAACAGGGAAAGATCATTTTAAAACAAAAACCAAACGACTCCAGGCTCCACGACATGACCCCGAAGCTTCCAACCTGAAGTCAGGTCCCGTGCTGACCACTTGATTCCTCACATTCAGTGCTGACGCAGCTCAGGCATACATCTGGTTCACCTGCCTCCGGCTTAAATCTCTGCTCTGCTCAGTGCTCTCCAGAGGCAACTGTGCAGGTCAGCCACGAATACCCCGTGAATCTGGTGCATGAGCGCATTGCCTGCCTTGCAGCAGGCAGAGAGCACATAACACATTAACCTCAAGAGAGAGTCTTTGGGTCTCATTAAAGCCAGTAAACCTGTACAGGGACCTTGGCACTGCCCAGGCCTCTGTGCTCCAGTGCTTTGAGATTTTCTCTTTCTGGATGCTTTATTGTCCATCCTAATAAAACCAACTGGTCAGAATATTTTTTTTAAGGCAAGGAATAAATGAAAAAAGGAGTATCTTCCCTAGCCTTCAATGTTTTCTATATGTTTTCACATACTTTCCAATTTACAAAGAGAGAGAGTGAGTGAGAGACATGGAGGAATGAGGAATAAAAGAGGGGGAGGACTCACCTTAGCTACCTTTCTCTTCCAGACAACATCTTATTGATGTGTAATGAAGACCGAGTGAGGAAATGGAGAGTCAAATATTTCTCCAAAGTCATACATATCAAATGAAAGACAAAACCAGGGCACGCACTCATTCTCTACAACCTTGAAGTGCCCTGGGGTCCTTCCATGATAAGCTGCATTTCAATTTTTAAGTAACATTTACTTAATAATTACATAATTATTTACTTAATAATTACATAATCCTTAGGTCCAGTACTTCCTATGGCTTGGCAGTAAAAGAACACTACTTTTGCTTGCATTTAGAGTGTGCTCTCTCTCCCTGCAATGCCATTTTCCTGAATACATCTTCCTGACTGACATGAAACAGGTGTTCATTTGTCCCTCTATTAAGTCCATAGGGCCAGCACAGTTAACTGACACCAGCTAACCACATATGACTTGTTCAATGGATAACCAGACACCAGGAATAAAGTTATAGTCAAGCTCCCACACAGTGTATCATGTGCAAATAACACTTGAGACATCAAGTCCTGAAAATGTTAGGCTTTTATTCTTTCAAAAAAAATTATTCATACCTACTGGGGAGGAGCTTATGATAGGGAAAGATAATTTAAAAATAAAACCAAGCCCATAAGTGGAGAAAAAAAATAAACACACACAGAAACCCTATCACCGAGCCACAGTTAGACGTCATTTACAATCTACCCTGCTCCTGAATATAAGACATGGTTGTATGCCTCTCCCAACAAAGACAATCAACATGATGAAACTTTTCCACCCCACCGTCTTCTCTTTCCTACAGAAGTTGCCAAATGGCAGGGAAATTTTCCAAACTATAATTTCCTCTGCAGGGAAGTCTTAGGATGGGTTTCAAAAATACCGTAAATCAGTGCAAGCCAACTACACATCCATGACCTCAAAGGACTAAAAGGAAAGTCACTCAACATATGCCACACAGCAAGGCTCTGAACTGCCCTGTAGCAGTTGTTTCTCAAGCAGCCCATTAGAAAATAGCTTTTTGGGTAATGAAATAGAGAGCCATTCCTAACTTTACGAAATAGCTTCAGAGTTATGCACACACAAACGTATTTCTCTCTGTGGGTGATGGTCAAAAAAAGGTTGAAAACCACCACATTACATAATTACAAGTCATGCAAAATGTAAGGAAGACAGAATAAGAAAGTAAGAATTTGTCATTCACTGAAGGGGCAGAATGACAAAAAAAAACAAAAAAAAAGGCTGCAAATTAATTCATCACCGTAGTAATACTCCTACCACTTCTGCTGCAGGCCTTCCAAACCAAGAGAGAGGAGAGCTACTGTTATGGCCTCACAGGTGTCCACCCAGGTTTATATGTTAAAGCTCTAACACCCAGTATAACCATATTGGAAGACAGAGCCTTTCAGGAGGTAATCCAGATTAAATGCGGTCCTATGAGTGGGGCCCTCATCTGAGAGGAATAGTGTCCTCAAAAGAGGAGAAAGGCAGCAGGGATGCACCTTGTGAGGACATAGCAAGAAGGCAGCCATCTGCACACCCAGCAGAGGCCTCAGGAGAAGGCAACCCTGCCACACCTTGCTTTTGAGACTCCATCCTCCAGGACTGTCAGAAAACACATTTCTGTTGTTTAAACTGCCCCATCTACGGTATTTTGTTATGACAGCTCTAGCAAACTAATACAGCTGTCTAAAACCACGACTTATAGGAGTGCTGTGGATCGTAACAGAGATCCATTAGCAAAATTTTACCTTGTTTTATTAAGGCCCCTAATTTTACAGAAAAGGAAATTAGAGTTCATTAGATCTGAAACATTCCCACAAGAGAAGTCAACAGTCATATTTATAAATGCCTCTGCAAAACTAAAATACAGTATTAAAGCCTCAGTCACGACCATGAAACAACACTGATGATTTCTAAAAAACCAACCCGATGTTCTAAGAAAGAACTGCCAGAGGAGGCTGACACGGGACATTTTTTTGAATGCTTAGCATGTTCCAGGCATTTAGTTAGATACATCATACACTTAATATTGTTTATTTTCATAAAAATAGCACAGGGTAGGGATTGTTATTTCCATTTTCCGGGTAGGAAAACAGAAGTGCAGAAAAGTTCCAGCCTCAAGGCCTGGATCTTCTGGCTCAAAAGGCCTGGGTCAATCTGTAACTCACAGTGGAGACCGGAGACCAGAGCCCAGGGAACTGGG